TTTTCCTTAAAAAAAAGACGAAAGAGATTTATCTTGTTTTTATTCATAAATTTTAAGATTAAAGTTGAATTGAGCAAGGAATATTTTATACATGGAATATTTATACCTTTATATTAAAGTAATTTTAAATTTTATTTTTTTCCTGTTACAGTTTTCCTATGTCAGTAACAGTGAACAGTGACTATAGATACAACTCACAAACATCGAGTTTAAACCAATTATAGGACACTGCGCACTGAAGTTCTTGTGGAATAGTATAACAGAGCCATTCCTGTCTCAGGAGGAGTTCAAAAAGAGTGTCATAGCAATCGAATCATTTGATGAGCGAAATGTCTTGACTGTAGCATGGGATTGGTATGTAAGTCATGTGCTGGAAAACGTCATTTCACCCAGAGGACCAAGGTCTCCGGTCCATCTTTCAAGGTGTTCCGTTCGTCGGCAACTGGCAACATGCCTTCAGCTTCCGTGTGGTGTTGACCAGCTTGATATACCGAAGATTTTAAAAGATTATATTCTTTTGGAACATTGAAAGCCTTTCACCAATGCAGAGCTGAAAAAGCTGTATAATTTCGATGAATAAATTTCATTCTAATAAATAAATTGCAATTGCTAGTTGCACATTGTTTTGACTCAACACCAAAGATAAACTTTCCCAATTTTTCCTCGGAAATTATTAAAACTCCAGACTACATTTTTGCTATACAAACAATGAAATTTCCCTTTCGTAGAAGATATGTTGGTTATAACATTTTGTAGGAAATAAAATTTCATACGACGAAGGTTTTATTTGCAGATTTTATGCGACAGAGCATCGCTTCTCTATAAATTATAGATAAAAGTGATTTCTTGCATACGAACAGGATAGTACTATACACTTTAATGTACATAAAATATGACTATGTTAAAAAAACAGTTGAATCATTTCAGACTTAAGAACCTAATGTTGCGATGGTGTGTCGAAAATGTATAAATTATTAATAATCATAGTATTCGATTTTTAGTTCGAGAATATTGACAGCATTACTTTCAACGGTGAGCGCAATCAAATTTTCAACAAAAAATAAGTACGTTTAAAGCACTTACAAATCTTTTTCTAAAGAAAAATCAATTTTTTTTCCCTCTCCATGTTGAAAGTTTATTATGTGTATACATAAAATTATCAAAGTAGAAAAATACTTACAAAGATTTTATGTAATCATTTGAAAATAAGGAATTTCCGACAAAGAACTCAATTTTTGATTTTATTAGTCACCATAAAACACTTTATGCACTATTTTAAATATATTTAATACTGGGTTCCTCATTAAATTTTTAAAATTAATAATTATTTTATTCAACTGCATAAAAATTTGTTTCATTTCAAAATCGCAACTAGTTAAAACTTAAATCACAATTTTTATAAGTGCACACTATCAACTAAAACATTTACAAGATTATTATTTCTAGTTTTGTTCAGTATTTCTTTAATGAAATATTTAAAAAAATTTATTCTATTATTCTGAAATATCAAAATTGAATAAGCATTGCAGCTAAAAAAATTCTTTAATGAAGTAAAATTTATTAATATATGGTCCGAATATTCATCATATTTAACAAATTTGAGATGATCGAACATTTTATTTCAATTACTTTTATGTCTAATGATAAAGAGATAAATTACAATCGCGTACCACTTCTTACGGCATTTGCTAACTGTTAAAATAGTGAAAAGTCCTTTTGTTCATACTTTTTTTTAAAAAATCTTTTTTATATATATTATCAGGGCTCGAAAAACCACCCGTCCGCCCGTCCGCGCGGATGGCCATCTTCCCGTTAATGTTCGTGATACATTTTCAATTTTTGTTTTCTTACAAGAGTCTAGCACTTCACTTCTAAAATGACCCTCTAATCTAGAAATACAGCAACATACTGCGTATGATGGAATTGATGTTTTCGCTGTCTGGGAGTACTGCAGCGCTTGAAAGGGGCTTCTCAGCAACGAACTTAGAAAAAAACACATTACGTACTGGTTTTAAATAAGTAGCGTTATACGAGGGTTGCTATTTATATTTCTGGCCTTGGCAACAGTAAGGGTTGCTAGGCGACCGCAGACGATTTTAATTGAAAGTTTGATATTTTTTAAACATAAATTCAGCAGACGATTTACCATTATAGCTTCATTTGTGTTGTTGACAGTAAATTGAAAAGTTCTTCTCTTTCAAAAAATGGAATTGAATCGTGAACATTTTCGTGCCATTATTTTTCATAACTTTCGACGTGGATTGTCAAGACAAGAGTGCTTCGATGAACTTAATTCTTTATTCAGCGATAAAGCGCCATCCTACAGCACTGTAAAAAATTGGTATAACGAATTTAATCGTGGTCGATGTTCGATCCAGGACGAATCCCGTGCAGGTCGTCCAAAATCCATTGTTGTGCCAGAAAAGATCGATGCTGTGCGTGAACTTGTGAAGCAAGATCGTCATGTGACATACCGTGAGATAGAGGCATCTTTGGACATTAGTATGACTAGCATCAATAAAATATTGCATAAACATTTGAGAGTAAAAAAAATTTGTTAGCGTTGGATCCCGCATAATCTGACAAACGCTCAAAAAAAGGCTCGTGTCGATTGGTGCAAGGAAATGTTGGAAAAATACGTTCAAGGTACATCAAAGGCTGTGTATAACATCTACACAGGTGACGAATCATGGATCTATGCATTTGAGCCGGAAACAAAACAGCAATAAACTGTATGGGTCTTCCAAGACGAGGCAAAACCAACAAAAGTTGTTCGAGGAAGAAGCACATCGAAACAAATGATTACCTGTTTCTTCGGCATTAACTGTCATGTGGCAGCAGTGGCGTAAGAGAAACGCAGGACGGTCAATTCTGAATGNCAAATTAATCATTTCAAACTTTAATCAATAAAACATTTCTTACATTTCAAGTACACATCAAGTAAGGACATTTTCAAGTTAATTATTGATTTAAAATGTTACAACATAAAAGCAGTATTTGCCTTAACAACTTTGCACATTTGACAAAAAGAGAGGAACCTAAGTTAGTTCGACACGAATTAAAATTATTGATTACAGATCACATTTCCTCCAAAAAAAACCAATTAAATGCAAAGAAAGGTAGGCGTGATACATTCTCCCATTAGTAGAAAGTTCTTCACTAGTTTCGGAAGCGTTAGTTTACTGATGCCTGATGGAAGTTGCAAAAACTTAGTCATCTGGTTTCGAACACCGCACCTTGAGAGATGATAGAGGGATCTCGGCGATTTCACCAAAGTTGAATCTTCTAAAACGTGAAACTGATACCAAGTCCATGCGTCCTTCACTAGAGTCTTATCTCTTGCACTTTCGGGATCAAAACTCTTTTCAAATTCCTGACGAGTCAAGTAAGGGTCTGTTATGCTGTCCCACAAGAGTTTCAGTACACACTCAGCTGAAAATGGACGAGATTTCTTGTGATAATCAGTCAGGTACAAATGCATTATTTGAAGTGAGCGCACAGTTATAAGGTCGAAACCTGAAACCATCTCGACGTTTTCAGGAAGGCTGTAAGGAAAGAAGAAGAAAAAAATTCATCAGTTTCAGCAAACACATCAATAAAGTAACACTAGAGTAGAGGAGCTAAGGAGTGAATATGTTATTTTTAAAATATTAGTTGCATCCTCTTAAATGACATCATCACTAACAATGACGTAATGCGGAGTAACTAACTATAAGGAATCCAATCACGAAATCATACAATTTACTAAGTCCATGATGATAACTAAGAGGAAAATAAACACACTGAAATTTTACTTTATGCATTCAAATTTTAAGAGCGCACAAGGCAACTGAAACTAAATTTGTATTATATAAACTAGAAATAACACATAAATTCTTACAATGTAACGAGTTAATCCCCTCCCCAATTTTAAAAATCAAATCAAAAATTATGTAAACCCAAATCAAAAATTATGTAAAAAAAATTGTACACCTCGAGGCCTGCAAATTATTAACTAATCGATGAAAAAAAGTAAGATAGTATAAAAATCCTGAAGAATCATTATCTGGATTAATAACATGAAACCCTGATTAATTGCCGGGGAAAGGGATGGAATGTCACGGTTAGAGGAACTTTAAAGTATAGTCAAGGAATAAAGCAGGCTATTATGTTTTTCTTTTTCAACTCCATCAATTTTATGTTCATTGTTTTTTTTTTTGGGGGGGGGGGTTGTTTCATTTTTGGCAAAGCTTCAAAATATCCATACATGTAGAGTGTTCGATTTAAATATATTGACATTATTGTCAAACTCGATGCATGCGTATTGTAGTATAACATTAATAGAAAGACAGATTTCGAAACATGACTGAGTGTTATGGAACAATGATTTTTTCCCCAAAATATGTAGTATTAAACAATTGGGAATTCCAGATCAATCAATCATATGACACTAGATAAAGTGCAGAGGGATACAAAGAGTGTACAAAGGAGAACACCTTAATAACTATTGAATTATCAATCAGATTTTTACTTACCAGGGTACAATCTTAATGTATCAAGATCTAACCTTAAATGCGATAGTTAATCTTATGTTGGGGTAGAAACTTTTTTACCCTTTTTTCTGGCAGATTTATAAAAATCAGCGTAGTTGATTTTATTTTATAACCGTCAACCCGTGTACAGCTGACAAAGTTTAAGGGTTTACGACTACTAATGTTTAACCTTGTGGTTTTAAACCCAATCTAGAAGACAGGGGAACTCTTGGATCATTTTTAGAAATTCGGATTCGTGGAGGACTTCTCGATGGAGCTAACCAGCATTTGCATTACATGGTGAGAAAAATCACGAAAACCTCCTATGGTTAGACCGACGGCAAGGTCTAACCTACCCCTTGAGCCGTTTTCCACTGAGGATGTTTTACGTCAGTACTGTGGGCGCCGGCAGCGGGGTACTGGCTTTTTTTTTTTTAAACAATTAAAAAGATGCAGAAAAACAATTTGTTATAAAAAATTTTTTATTAAAAATAATTCAGAAACAAATAATTAAGTAATTATTGATACACAACAATTAAAAAATTTTTTAATCAAACAAGAATTGTAATCGTCTTGTTTGCTGTCCAAATCTGTTTATAACTTTTTCAATGAATCATCTTTGATTCTTTCCTTATGCACACTGAGCATGCACGAACTTGGCAGATATCTAAGCTATATTTTTGAATTTTATTAAATAAAATGTAAATAATATTATATTTTCTATTAATCATTTAGTTAACAAAGGTGCATAACACAAACTGACTTTTCACAACTATAAAACTTCATCAGCACAATAAATACCAATGTTAAGCGTGCACAAACACGTTAGTATACGAAACTACTGTTTGTAGTTATTTGTGTTTCAAAGTCAGTGGCTATGCCAACGCCATCAATACAGTTTCTCGTTGCAAAATTTCCAAGTACAAGAAATTCCTACTTTTTTTTAATATCTTGTTAACAATGAAGAAATGTATCTTGAAGAAAATTAACAGATTAAAGTATATTTAATAACAAAACCAAATGTAAAAACAGAATATTTTAATTTTTTTGAGGGGGTAGTTTGTCAGAGGGTTGCACCCCCTTTTATATTATTCTGCCGG